GGGAATTTTTTGGCAGCAGGGTGAAGTTTATGGTAAGTTTTTCCTCATAAAACTGTATCTTGATGTGTGTTTGTTTTTCAATTTCATTAGCATCGCAAGATTTATCTAGTTTACATGTCCGTAATGCACACCCGCCTTGAACCAACCAAATTTTGTGAAGACAAGCGATCTGAGAGCGCGATTCGCAACGCTGTGATCGCTATCACGTCCCGTGTGTCGGGTTTCACCCTGGCTGCGATGACAGCCTTTAATCGCTGTAGTTTGTCGCTGCCCGTGTGTCGAGCCCTTTAGGAGTTACCCAACCTAAGTGAGCTGATGTGTTGTAATTTGTCTCAGATTAGAGGCTGCAGGTGTCACCTCGGGTGAAACAAACATGCAAAACTGTCCATGACCTAAGGCATCTGATGGGCCCCTTTAAAGAGAAACAACTCTATTCCAGTTAAAGCCATAACAGGTCTTATTAAACATTAAAGAGACATTTTCTTCTTCTTAATCAGATAMTAAACAGAATAATCTTCTTTTACTCGTAATTTTATGAATGTATAAAAAAGAAAACCACAGAAAATGTTATTCCAATATTCTCTTGTTTTAATGTGTTGCTTGAAATCTAACTGTGAAACCACAGTGATTGATTATAGATTTTTCTGTTGAAATATTTTACTTTACTAAACTCAGCGTTATGGTTAAGCTTTATTATGAAACTTTTTTCCACTCATCTATCCTTGTGTGGTATTTCCTTTTTCTTTTTAAAGGTAGCACAACCCCTGCTGGTTGCCGCATGACCTGTTCACCTGTTCTCCCATGTTTTTTGTCATATGTGTCTCTTGAGTGGGTGTTCTTAAGTATAATTTCATTGTGCTCTGTACAATGACAATAAAGGTATCACCAATCAATAAATCAATCAATAAATCAATCAATTATATTTTTATTGTCTAAATTATCATAATGAATGTTCATGAAATAATTCATTTTTAAGTTTTCAGTAAATCACTCTCACTAGAGAGCAGGTCAGAACGGCAGTACAAGACTGTACAGATGTCAACAATTTTGTTAAGCCAAAACAACACCTGGCAGTTTTCTCAATAACATTTTCTATCTTTTGACTAACATCTTTGGTCTAAACTAGCAACTGTTCAAAGATAACATTTTTGTGCTTCAACAAGGAAGCAGCTGGTTTTTCTCTTTGCGGAGAACCAGCACTGGACTGTGAGGTTTTGCCCATTTTGGTCAAAGGGAAACCTCACAGCCAGGACATGGACCTATCCGGTCACGTCCATTACCTGAGCTTATCAAAGCCACACAAAGTAACTTCTGTTTTGAAACTTCCGTGGCAGAAGAATTTTATTTTTGGATGGACATAGCAAAGAGCCTTGTCTCTGATCTCTGATGGGAAGCAGGCCCAGGAGATGCTAAAAAAGTAACACGCTTGGAGGTGTCCAACTGGATGAGGTTCCGAGAAGTTGTTCTTCACCAACTGGACGATCTTCTCTTCAACTTGAGCCATAGTGGGTGACCCTGTCCTTGGTCCAAGGTAATGGCTGTCCATTACTAAGCGTACCTGGTGTCTGGCTAAATTTGTTGAGAGATGCTCACCCTTCCTGGTTAAATCCACATTCTTTAAAAATAAAAGCTAGGAAAGCTAACACCTTACTTTCCTCCTACTCTTAAACAATACCCTGCCAAAACTTAAGAAAAAGTGCCGCAAACAACTGGTTAATTAAGATCTAAGCCTAAATTTTGTTGCTACAACTCTTTATTGGAAATTAAGCTCACAAATAAGTGTACATTCATGACTTTGTTTGATTTTGTAAAGAAATGATCACATTTATTGATGGATCAAGTTAAAATTTACTGAGTTGAGTCACTTTTTGTAGGTTTGTCATTCAATTTTGCATAGTGAAGATATTTCCTGAAAAATAAGAGAACTCGTAATAAATATTTCCCTTATAACTTTCATTATAAGAAAGTGTATATCCATTACAAAACCAACAGATTAGTGGCTAACCTGCACAGCAAATGTTGAAAAAACCCAATGAGGAACCAGAACAACCGGGTGCAGGTGAACCGAGAACAACTTCACTGCAGAATGCAGAAAGGGGCGGATCAGTGTCAGACACATACCACATTTGAAAATGAAACCACTGCACTCCAAAAATAAAGGGGGTGCTATATCAATGAACACTTACAGATGTCTTAAAGAGCAGGTAGACTTTTTGGTCATGTGTTTTTCATTTTTAAAACAGATATTGAAAAATGAGTGGTTGCTCCATGTTCATTTTAAACTAAAAAAACAGAAGAATGTTCAGTCTTTTTATTTTTGTCAAAATGAAAGATTAACACTACTGCCATGGCAAGCTAAAGCTGTCCTGTGGCATAGCTCCAGACTCAGAACATGTGTAGAGATATAGTACCATGGACAGCTCCAGAATGAGGAACAGTGTGTAGGGGATGGTACGAACCCAAAAACAGTTTGATGGGGTTTGGTGCCATGGACAGCTCGAATTTCAGAGACAGTSWATAGGGCAGGGGTGTCAAACTCCAGTCCTCGAGGGCCGCTATCCTGCATGTTTTAGAGGTTTTCCAGCTCCAACACACCTGATTCAGTGATTGAATTAACTCTTCAAATTGGGCAGAAGCCTGTTAATTACCCAGCGATCAAAATCAGGTGTGTTGGAGCAAGAAAACCTCTAAAACATGCAGGATAGCGGCCCTCGAGGACTGGAGTTTGACACCCCTGGTATAGGGGGTTTGGTACCGCAGACAGCTCCAGACTCAGAGAAAGACGTGAGTGTGTGCGTGTGTGTGTGTGTGTCCTTGTTTTTCCTGCATCGCGTGGCCCAGTTTTATAGAAAATGCAGCCTCGTGGGGTCCGGGTGCTCCTTGTGGGGCCCAAAGCCTGGGCCCCACAACTTCAGAGGTTGATTTTGGGTGTGAGGGTTGGGTTTAGGACCAAAGTGTGAATTGAGTTTAGGTTAGTTTTAGGGTCAGGA